AGTAATTCCACGGGTTTAACTGCTCTCAACTAGGCAAGCCGGCACAATTGTGTAATCTACGCAAGTCAAAGTATTCGGTAAAATAAAGGCCGAAAGAAAAGAAAAGTTAGCAACCAAATTGAATAGCTAAAAACGCATGCCATATCAAGTCTGCTTTGCGCAGTAAAAGCACTTGATCTGGCTGTTGAACGGTATGTCTATAAGTTTGTTTCTGAGCGCTTGTCTTCTTTCTCGCGCTTGACGCCAATATTCACTGAGTATGTTTCAATACGATATGCCGCTGGTGCGGACAGTCTGTTAACAAAGAATAAGCTGCCGTAAAACCAACATAAGCAAGAGTTATTTAAGGAAACACAGGGCCTATAAAACTGATTGTTGTCGGTCGCGCAGATATGGTCAGACGAAACGCTGGGATAAATGGCAAGCCTAAATTACAGTCATCTGGAATACAGTTTTTTTCCGACGCAGGTCTCTAACGACTGACAGACCAGTCTTTAAAACAGAACCCCTTCCAGCTTTGATTATCACAGTGAGAGGATTTTTTGATATCAAAGCCTAAGAAAAAGCGCTTAAAAATCACAAGATACAGGAAAAAATTTTATAGGAGGTCATAGTAAAAAATATCCGTCCCCATGCCATTGATGAGAGGGAAATGCATCAGTAATTATTAGCAATCTGAATACACAGGTGCCTGGCGCAAAGTAGTACTGATGACAAGATATATAACAGGGTTATAGTCCAGAGTAGACACCTACCAGAAAGGCATAATTTCGCCCGTCCGACTATACTTGGATCACTATTGGAAGGACTTGATGAAAGTTCACACCCAGACACAGCAGCATTGGCCTCCAAGACCTTTTCTTGCTGAAGTTTTCTGAGAGAAACCACAAGACGTGCACTGCTTACAAGCATTGTTTTCTCCGCGTCGAGACGCTGTATGGAGTTTCCGGCGATTGACAAGATACGTTTAGCCCCATCTCGTAGCCTCAGATTTCGCTCGATGTCCTGCTCGAGCTGTGGGTCCTACAATCCGGAGTAAGCAAGAGTGAAAGGGGGAGAAAATAAAGTAATAATGAACAGTCATGGGGAGCAGCCACATTAATGTCAACTGTAAGAACGGCCCAGCACGCCAATCATCACTCGGGCCA